AGGGAGAGAGGTCCCTTTCCTGCTAAGCCAACTAGGAAAGAGCACCTGCCCCACTAAGCCCACCTGGGACAGAGCCCCCTGCCACACTAAACCCACCTGGGACAGAGTCCCCTGCCCCCTGAAGCCCACCAGGGACAGAGCCCCCTGCCCTCCTATGCCCACTTGGGACAGAGTTCCTGCCCCACTAGACCACCTGGGAGAGAACTCCCTGCCCCAGCAAGCCAACCTGGGACACAGCCCCCTGACCCGCCAAGCCCACCTGCAACAGAGCCCTCTGTCCCCTTTGGCCCACCTGGGACAGAGGCCCCTGCCCCACTAAGCCTACCTGGGACAGAGCCCCCTGCCCCCTAAAGCCCACCTGGGACAGAGCCCCCTGCCACACTAAGCCCACCTGGTACAGAGCCCCCTGCCTCCCTATGCCCACATGGGGCAGAGCCTCCTGCCCATCAAGCCCACCTGGGACAGAGCCCCCGTCCCCCTAAGCCCACCTGGGACAAACCCCCTATCCCCCGAATCCTAACTGGGACAGAGCCCCCTGCCCCCCTATGTCCAACTGGGACAGAGCCCCCTACCCCACTAAGCCCCCTGGGACAGAGACCCCTGCCTCACTATGCACACCTGGGACAGAGCCTACTGCGCTGCCAAGCCCACCTTGGACAGAGTCCCCTGTCCCAGAATCTCACCTGAGACAGAGCCCCCTGCCACCGTAACCCCACCTAGGACAGAGCCTCCTGCCCTACTAAGTCCACCTTGGACAAAGTACCCTGCCCCATTAAGCCCACCTGGGACAAGGCCCCAGTCCCCCAAGCCTACCTGGGACAGACCCCCTTGCACCCTGAAGCCAACCTAGGACAGAGCCCCCTGCTCCACTAAGTCCACATAGGACAGAGACCTCTGCACCTCTAAGCCCACCTGGGACAGAGCCCCCTGCACCACTAGGCCTACTTGGCACAGAGTTCCCTGCCCCACTAAGCCCACATAGGACAGAGACCCCTGCCCCCTAAGCCCACCTGGGACAGAGTCCCCTGTCCCAGAATCTCACCTGAGACAGAGCCCCCTGCCACCGTAACCCCACCTAGGACAGAGCCTCCTGCCCCACTAAGTCCACCTGGGACAGAGCCCCCTGCCCCAGTTAGCCCACCTTGGACAAAGTACCCTTCCCCGTTAAGCCCACCTGGGACAAGGCCCCAGTCCCCCAAGCCTACCTGGGACAGACCCCCTTGCACCCCGAAGCCCACCTAGTACAGAGCCTCCAGCCCCCCTATGCCCACTTGGAACAGAGTTCCTTCCCCACTAAGCCCACCTAGTACAGAGCCCCCAGTCCCTCTATGACTATGTGGGACAGAACTCCTGCAACTCTAAGCCCTCCTGGGACAGAGCCCCCTGCCACCTGAAGCCCACCTGGCACAGAGCTCCCTGCCCCAATAAGCCCACCTAGTACAGAGCCCCCTGCCCCTCTATGCCCACTTGAGACAGAGTTCCTGTACCACTAAGGCCACCTGGGACAGAGCCCCCTGCTCCCCTATGCCCACTTGGGACAGAGCTCCTGCCCCACTAAGTCCACCTAAGACAGAGCCCCCTGCCCCCAGAAGCCCCATGGGACAGAGCCCCCTGCCCCCTTAACCCCACTTAGGACAGAGCCTCCTGCCCTCCAAAGCCCACCTGGGACAGAGCCACCTGCCCTGCCAAGTCACCTGGGACAGAGCCCCCTGCCCCGCTAAGCCCACCTGGGACAGACCCCCTGCCCTCCAAAGCCCACCTGGGACAGAGGCCCCTGCCCCGCCAAGCTCACCTGGGACAGAGCCTCCTGTCCCGCCCAGCCCAACTGGTACAAACCCTCCTATCCCCCGAATCCCATTGGGATAGAGCCCCCTGCCCCACTATGTCCACCTCAGACAGAGCCCCCTGCCCCACTAAGTCCACCTGGGACAGAGCCCCCTGCCCCCATAAGCCCAACTGGGACAAAGCCCTCTGCCCCCCTAAGCTCACCTGGGACTAAGCCCTATGCTCCGCCAAACCCACCGGGGACAGAGGCCCCTGCCCCGCTAAGCCCACCTGGGATGGAGCCTGCCTCCTATGCCCACTCGGGACACAGTCCCCTGCCCCTATAAGCCCACTTGGGAAAGAGCTCCATACCCCTCGAAGCCCAACTGGGACAGAGCCCTCTGCCCCCCAAAGCCCACCTGGGAACGAGCCCTATGCTCTGCCAAACCCACCTGGGACAGACCCCCTTGCCCCACGAAGCCAACCTAGGACAGAGCCCCCTGCTCCACTAAGCCCACATAGGACAGAGACCTCTGTACCTCTAAGCCCACCTGGGACAGAGCCCCCTGCCCCACTAAGCCCACATAGGACAGAGACCCCTGCCCCCTAAGCCCACCTGGGACAGAGTCCCCTGCCCCGCTAAACCTACCTGGGACAGAGCGTCCTGTCCCCATAAGCCCAACTGGGACAGAGCCCTTTGCCCCTGAAGCCCAACTGGAACAGAGCCATCTACCCTCCTAAGCCCACCTGGGACTCAGCCCCCTGCTCCGCCAAGCCCACCAGGGACAGAGCTCCCTGCCCCCGAAGCCATCCTGGGATAGAGCCCCCGCACCCCGAAGCCCACCTGGGACAGAGCCCCCTTTACTCCAAAGCCCACCTGGGACTGAGCCACTTGCCCACCGAAGTCCACCTGGGGCCGAGACCCCTGCTCCACTAAGCCCACCTGGGACAGAGCCCCCTGTCCCCCGATGCCCTCCAGCAACAGAGACCCATGCCCTGCTAGCCCACCTGGGACAGAGGCCCCTTCCCCCTGAAGCCCAAAGGGGAAGAGCCCCCTGCCCCCCAAACACAACTTGGGACAGAGACTCCTGCACCACTAAGCCTACCTAGGACAGAGGAACCTGCCCCAATAAGTCCACCTAGGACAGAGTCCCTGCCCCGCTAAGCCCACATGGGACAGAGCCCTCTGACCCACCAAGCCCACCTGATATAGAGACCCCTGTGTTACTAAAACCACCTGGGACAGAGCCCCCTGCCCCACTAAGCCCATCTGGTACACAGACCCCTGCTCAACCAAGCCCACCTGGGACAGAGTCCCCTGCCCCTCTAAGCACACCTGGGACAGAGTCCCCTGCCCCCCTAAGTCCACCTGGGACAGAGCCCCCTGTCCCTCTAAGACCACCTGAGACAGAGCCCCCTGCCCCACTAAGGCCATCTGGGATAGAGCCCCATTCCCACCGTAGCCCACCTGGGACAGAGGCCCCTGCCACCTGGAGCCCACCTGGGACAGAGCCCCCTGCCCCCTGAAACCCGCCTGGGACAGAGCCCTCTTTCCCCCTAAGCCCATCTGGGACAGAGCCCCCTGCCACACTAAGCCCTCCTGGGACAGTGCCCCCTGCCTCATTAAGCCCACCTGTGATAGAGGTCCCTGCCCCGCTAAGCCCACCCAGGACAGAGCCTCCTGCCCACCAAGCCCACCTGGGACAGGGCCTCCTGCCCCGCCAAGCCCACCTGGGACAGAGCCCCCTGCCCCACAAAGCCCACCTGGGACAGAGCCCCCTTACACCCGAAGCCCACCTAGGAAAGAGCCCCTTGCCACATCAAGCCTACTTGGGACACAGCCGCCTGCCCCGCCAAGCCCACCTGGGACAGAGCCTACTGCCCGCTGAAGCCCACCTGGGACAGAGCCCTCTTCCTCTCGAAATCCACCTGGGACAGAGCCCCCTGCCCCCCGAAGCCCACTTGGGACAGAGCTTCCTGCCCCACTAAGCCCACCTGGGACAGAGTCCCCTGCCCCGCCAAGCCCACCTGGGACAGAGCCACTTACCCTACAAAGCACACCTAGGACAGAGCCCGCTGCCCCCCAGAGTCCACTTGGGAAAAGCTTCCTGTTCCACTAAGACCACCTGGACAGAGACTCCTGTCCCACTAAGCCAGCTTAATACAGAGCCCCCTGCCCCACTAAGCCCACCTGGGATTGAGCCCCCTGCCACATTAAGCCCACCTGGGACAGAGCCCCTGCCCCCCGAATCACACCTGGGACGGAGTCCCCTGTCCCCCAAACACAACTTGGGACACAGCCTCCTGCCCCACTAAGCCCACCTGGGACAGATCCCCTGCCCCACCAAGCCCACCTGAGACACAGTCCCCTGCCCCTCTAAGTCCACGTGGGACAGAGCCCCTGCCTCCCTAAGCCCACCTGGGACAGAGCCCTCTGCCCCCTATGCCCACCTGGGACAGAGCCCCCTGCTCCACTAAGCCCACCTGGGACAGAACCTCCTGCCCCCTATGCCCACCTGGAACAGAGCCCCTCTGCCCCCTATGTCCACCTGGGCTGCTGCTCTGTCAGCTGCACTTTGAAATCCCTGAATGCAGCCCCTGCACTTGCTTGCCTGTGGCATTTCCTGGGGAGACGGTGCCCTTGTCCACACCCGGGCCCCTCCCTGGACTCACTTTCCCAGACTCCCTGTAGCTAGGAGTCACCATGAGACAAGTTCCCGCCAGTGGGACAAGGCCGAGCCTTCCGGGGGTTCTGAGGAACACGTTACTGTCTCCACAGAAGAAGCTAGGGCAGGGTTTTGTCGCAGAGGGTGGAGTCTCTGCTTGGGAAGTCCTCACAGGTTCAAGTCCCTGCTGCTCCACTTCTGATCCTCCTTGCCAAAGGCCTGGGAAGGAGTGGATGATGGCCCCAGTGCCCAGGACCCTGCACTCACAAGGGAAACCAGATGGAACCCCTGTACCCACATGGGAGACCTGGATGGAGACCTAGATGGGGTCCCTGCACCCACATAGGAGACCTGTATGGGGCCCCTGTCACCCACACTGGAGACCCGCCTGGCCCAGCCCTGGCTCTTGCAGCCATTTGCAGAGTGAACCCGCAGACAGATCTCTCTCTCTTTCTCCCTCCCTCTCCCTCATTCTGCTTCTTAAAGAACTAAGTAACTATTTCTAGGAACCGGCCACTGCCTGTGCGTCCGTCCTTGCACATGGGCCCCGGGACAGCGGCTGCCACTCACTCTTGCCGTAGACGGGCTCGGAGAGCACAGGGTCCATGTCGCGTATCTTCCCCTGCTGGTCCTGGTAAGAGGCCTGGAAGCAGATCCTCACCATGTTCATGTCCACCTCCTGGTGATTCTTCAGGGACCCAGCTGTGCAGAGACACAGGGAAGCGGTGGGGGTGGAAAATTCTCCTCTTTGTCTCTGTCTCTCTCTGCCTTTCAAATTAACAAAATAGCACATGAAAATTTAGCCATCAATTACAATCTGCCAAGAGAATTGGGACATACATCTTCCAAAGGATTCCCTCTCGACCTGCAGAAACAGATGGGAGGCGCGCAGGCTTGGAAGGGCCAGGTGATCGGCCTTCGGTGCACCAGAGCCACCGGTCCCTCTGTCCACGGCCGCAAATGCACGTGGGAGGAAGCCCGTTCCCCAGCTCCTCTGCGGCGCCGCCTGCCTTAGGCTGCAGTGCCTGGAGCAATTGAGCAGCAGTGAGGACGCCAACCGGGCAGGCACAGGAGCTGGAACCGGACGCGGAGGGCGCTGCGGTGTGCACCTGCTCCACAGACGGGCCCATCGGAGTAACGGGCGACAGAGCCAGGGCTCCGATCCCTGCCCTCACCCCAAACCCACACTGCTACCCACCGTGTCGGCGCTCCCGGGCTGGAAGCACAGCGTGGACCCACTGAGCCCCCAAATAAACGTGAGCGCAGAGCTGCGGGCCAGCGGCCACGGCGGAGCCCTGGGCGCCAAGTCCTGCACGTGCTCCGGGCCGGCTTCCAGGCTACTGCGGGCTCGGGGTCCGGGTCTGGACTGAGTTCCCAGCTCCCAGCACTGGGGCAGGGAGCTTGCAGAAACAAAAGGGGAGGGGGCTGCTCAGCTGGCGAGAGGGCAGGGGGCTGGGGCCCGGCGAGGGGCCCTGGTGAGGGGCAGCCTCTCCAGTCAGGGGCGACAGCGCTGGAGGTGGCCAGGGAGGAGGGGCTGCGAGGGAAGGGGTCTCCCCGAGGGCAGTGGGGAGGCAGGAGAGGGGACACGCGTGGGCTCTAAGTGGACACGTGGCGGCCCCAGGAGCCAGCGGGGCCCAGGCCTCCAGCGCGGACGGCACACGGCGCAGGCGCAGCAACACCCGGAAGCGCCCGCCACGTGGGAGACCCGGATGCAGGAAGAGCAGGGGGCCACCGCGGGGTGTCCCCAGGGGCGAGTTCCCTTTCCCCAGAGATTCCCCTTCTACAAGTTGATCAGGGAAGGCGCGGCCGCTCAACCACGTGCTGCACATTGCTGCTCGCGAGAGCGCGGGGACTCAGAACTACGCGGCCGGGCGCCGGGCATCCTGCGTGGACGGAACCGGTTCCCAGGAGGGGCGCTCCGTCTCTAACTCTGCCTTTCAAAGGAGATGGCTCTATAATGTTGCAAGGATAACGGGTCTCGTTGGGTACCGTGACCCGCGGGCTCGGTTCCGAAGGCCTCGCTTCTGCCGCCCTTCTCCCACCACCCTGAGGCCTTTGTCTTCAGTCCCGGCGCTGCCGGGGCAGGGGCAGGGACGCCGACGCCCGGCGCGCGCTCACCTCGATGGCGGGCAGCGTCTTGCTGGCCTCGTGCTGCTCTCGCCCAGGATGTTGCCTGCAGAGCGGCCCTCGCGCTCGTGGCGGAAGCGCATGCCGCGCTGCTTGGGCTGCTCGGCGATGACCAGGTGCGGCCGCAGGCCGGGGCCCGGGGCGGGCGCCATCCGCCGGCCCAGCGGGCAGCCCCAGGGTGACGGTGCCCAGCGAGGCCGCCCCGGGACACCAGGCGCGGCTGCCCCTCGCCCGCGCCCGGCGCCGCCCCCTCCAGGCCGAAGCTGTTCTCCAGGATGTGCTCCTCCTGATCTCTGCGGGAAGAGCAGACGCGGCGTGGTGATGCCCAGGGCGCTGGCGCAGGCCCCCAGACCCTCGGCAGTCAGCATCGCCCGGTGGCCGCGGCGGGCTGGATTCCCTTCTCCTCCGCCCTCCGCGGCCTCTGTCCACCGGGAACCAGGGCAGGGGCCAAGTGGCAGGTGCCCGCCTCCCCCTTGCCCCGTGTCATCGCCACGCCGCTCTGACCACCGTCCCCAGCTCAGACAGCAGCGCCCGCAGCCCTGGTGCTAACCTGCAGGGGTTTTGTGAGGGACATGTCCAGCGCCACCTCCACTGAGCTGTTTCTCCCACGCCTCTCCCCAGCCCCACCGTGGCCCCCCGGGCTGCAGTCTGTTCCCACCCCCATGTGGCCCTCTTCAGCTCAGAAGCCTCCATGGCTCCCATCTTCCGTGGAGTCCAAGTGGACACCCTCCCCGCAGAAATCCTCCCCAGACTCCGCTGGTCTCAGAAAGACAAAGGGAGGGGCCGGCGCTGTGCTGCAGCGGGTGAAGCCGCTGCCTGTGATGCTGCGTCCCATGTGGGCGCTGGTTCAAGCCCCGGCCGCTCCGCTTCAGATCCAGCTCCCTGCTAATGCGCCTGGGAAGGCCTCGGAGGATGGCCCAAGTGCCTGGGCCCCTGCACCCATGTGGGAGACTGGATGGAGTTCCAGGCTCCTGGCCCAGCCCTGGCCATTGCAGCCATTTGAGGAGTGAACCAAAAGATGGAAGATCTCTCTTTCTCACTCTCTTTCTCGCTCTCTCTCTCTCTCTCGCTCTGCCTCTCCTTCTCTTTCTATGTAACTCTGACTTTCAAATAAACAAATAAATAATATCTTAAAAAAGTGCATTGGGGAGTGGAAATTATGGATTCAATCCCTGGCTCCAGCTTCTGACTATAGGTTGCTGCTCACTGCAAACCCTGAAAGACTGCAGTTGGTGGTTCAATTGTTTTTAGCCATCCATGTGAAATACTGGATTGCACTGCTGGCTCCTCCTCTAATGCCTGGACAAGTCTAGTGCAGGTATTTTGGAAGTGACCCAGCAGATGGAATTCCCTCTCTTTCAAATAAATAAATAAAATTTTAAAAATATAGTATACAAGAGGATTGCACAGATTACATGCAAATGCTATTCCATTTTTTAAGGAATTTGAACACTTGTAGATTTGGAATACATGTATATTTTTATTTGAAATGCAGATTGACAGAGAGGGAGGGGTGGGGAGAGACATGGAGAGAGCTCTTCCTTTCCCTGGTTCAGTCCAAACATGGCCACAAAAGGAAGCTCTGGAGGAGTCAGGAACTCCAGCTGAGTCTCCCATGTTGGTAGCAGGGACCCAAGCACTTGAGTCATTTTCTGATGCCCTGCCAAATGCGTTAGAAGGGAACTGGATCTGAAATGGAACAGCTAGTGACTTGAACTGAAGCACTGATATGGGATATGGGTGTTGCAAGCTATGCTTTAACGGTTGTGCCAAAATGCCAGTTCCAGAAACTTTTATTAGCTCTGTTTTAAGGATGAGGAAACTGACACACAATTTGAACCCAGATGACTTTACTGAATAATTATGTTTTCTAACTGTCAGACTGTTTTCAATACAGGACCTTGCACTCTCTCCAATCCAAGGAACTCTTTCCTTCTAACACATGAACGTTTGAGGCCTCAGTTCACATGCCCTCTTCCACTTGAGGCCTCACATTACTCTTCTCAAAGGTAACATCGATTTTTGCCCTCCATCTGGATTCCTTCGTTCCTTCCATTAGATTCTATAATACTCAATCACATTTATTTTCTTTAGTTTTCTTCTTGAAGAAGTAAAAACATATTGAAGTCAACTGTGTTTATTGATGAAACCTTGAAAAAGAGGCTGGTACTTAGTTAAAAGTCAATAAATAATTACTTCCAAATTAATATTTTGTTCACTTTTGAGAAAACATTTTAAGTTTTTTTTTAGCTTTTAACAGATACAATATAGTTCACAGAAAAAACTAAGAATATAACAATTTTGCAATTATAAATGTTTTGATTTTTGCATCCTACTTTCTTCTATCCCATTATTTATCATAGTCTCCCAAATATGAGAGTACTTCCAAAAGTTCATTGAAATTATTTTGATGTCAAAAATTTTTGAAATTCCTACACTGAGAGTTCATAAGTTAGTGTGAATAAGTTAGTGTGAAATGCATTTTTAAGAAAACTGTATACTCTGACACCACAGAACAATGAATTTCAAATTTTTTGCTCCAAAATTCCATTTTTCAAGAACACTTGGATTTCACTTGTATAGTAAGTTTTCAGTAAACACTGGACTAATTTAAATATTGCATTTCTCCAATACATGACAGTTTTATCAATCTCATCTCAGACACCATATTATTGTTAGAAAATAAATGAATAAAATTAAGATTAGTAGGCTGGTGTCGCGGCTCAACAGGCTAATCCTCCGCCTTGTGGCACCGGCACACTGGGTTCTAGTCCCGGTCGGGGCGCCGGATTCTGTCCTGGTTGCCCCTCTTCCAGGCTAGCTCTCTGCTGTGGCCCAGGAGTGCAGTGGAGGATGGCTCAAGTGCTTGAGCCCTGCACCCCATGGGAGACCAGGAGAAGCACCTGGCTCCTGCCTTCGGATCGGCGCAGTGCGCCGGCCACAGTGGCCATTGGAGAGTGAACCAATGGCAAAGGAAGACCTTTCTCGCTTTCTCTCTCTCTCACTGTCCACTCTGCCTGTCAAAAACAAAAACAAAAACAAAAAAGAAATAAAAAAATTAAGATTAGCTTTTACTGAAACCTATCACAATATTTTAGCCCCAACTTGTAGATCTGGGGACATTTGCAAATCTATTTTTCCTTCATATACTGTTGCCTATTCTTGAACCCTGTGGGGAGTAACTGGGAGCAACTCAGACTAGACTAAGTTACTGGAATTAAGACTTATTCTATGCATCTGCTCTCCCACAATATGGTGCTGGGAGAGGAGGAAACAGCTTCTACACAGCTGCCTCCAGTTCAACCAATAAACTGTAGGACCTGCTCCTGATTGGAGGAGAGCAGCGTACTCGGCGTGTGGGTAGCAGAGTTGGGATTGGTGGAAGAGGACTATAAAGGAGGAGAGGGACAACATGCACCAGGAACATCTAAGAGGAACACCTGTGCAGCCCCCGAGAGAGCCGGCCAGCGGTGTGCCGCTCCCCCGCGGAAGTGGGGAAAGTGGCTAGGGGGAACCGCCCTTCCACAAAGGTGGAAGGGTCGGTAGCCAACCCGGGAAGAACCAGCAGCAAACCCGGGGAGGGCCGAGCAGACAAAAGAACAGCGCAGGGTCCTGTGTCATTCCTCCACGAAGACGGGGAGCGACAGAACCCAAGTAGTTAGAGAATTCTTGTTATGAATTTGACATTTTAGCTAATATTATATACTGCCTAATTTCATTAGGGAGAGATTTGGTCTGAAGAGATCACTTTTTTTACGATCAATATCAGAAAGAGAAAATATAAGCCAAATGTTAGGACTTCTAAGCAATCATATATATTGACTAGGGATATAATATCTCTGAGATGAAAGCTGATTACTTAAGACATTTCAAGTAACAAGGAGCAAAGCATTAAGCCCACAGGGCTGGAAGAATGTCCAAATCTGTTTCATATCGATGTTTTGTCTTAATATATTTCTACAATATATAAGTCTGAACATAAAATATATGTCACAAATATATTAAAGATAATTATTTGCAATAGGAGAAATAACCGTCTGAATTAATTTTCAACAAGACTCTACATGGTATCTTAGGATTTTATCAATGCTTTTGAATTTTTTTAAAGGCTTTCATGTTCGATAAATGTATAACAATAAGATCATATCTCTAAGACGTATTTTTTTTTTTTTACAGGCGGAGTGGACAGTGAGAGAGAGAGACAGAGAGAAAGTTCTTCCTTTTGCCATTGGTTCACACTCCAGTGGCCGCCACAGCTGGCGTGCTGTGGCTGGCGCACCCTGCTGATCTGATGGCAGGAGCCAGGTGCTTCTCCTGGTCTCCCATGGGGTGCAGGGCCCAAGCACTTGGGCCATCCTCCACTGCACTCCCAGGCCACAGCAGAGAGCTGGCCTGGAAGAGGGGCAACCAGGACAGAATCTGGCGCCCCGACCAGGACTAGAACCCAGTGTGCCAGTGCCGCAGGCAGAGGATTAGCCTCTTGAGCAGCAGCGCCAGCCACAAGACGTATTTCTAATGTAAACTTAGGAAACCTGAGATCTATACCACAATACCAATAGTGTAAATTCAATGTTATGCTCAAAAAAATCACTCTTATTTCCCAAGGATATGTAGAAAGCAAAGCTTTAAAATGAAGTAGAATACAAAATGGGAATTAAAAGATTAAAAGTTAAGAAGTAAAACAAGAGGAGTGCCTTGTGCGGCTAGTAATAATGTGTACTGTCTGAGGAGCATGGTTACCTCAATTCTCTATAACTGAGGTCTTTGTAAAAGTAAAGTTAAAAAGAAAAAGATCCAGCGCCATGGCTCACTAGGCTAATCCTCCACCTAGTGGCGCCGGCACACTGGGTTCTAGTCCAGGTCGGGGCGCCAGATTCTGTCCCGGTTGCTCCTCTTCCAGGCTAGCTCTCTGCTGTCGCCTGGGAGTGCAGTGGAGGATGTCCCAAGTGCTTGGGCCCTGCACCCCATGGGAGACCAGAAGCACCTGGCTCCTGCCATCGGATCAGTGCAGTGCACTGGCCAGCGCGCTGCGGCCATTGGAGTGTGAACCAATGGCAAAAGGAAGAACTTTCTCTCTGTCTCTCTCTCTCTCACTGTCCACTCTGCCTGTCAAAAGAGAGAGAGAGAGAGAGAACTCAATGTGAGCTGATGACCTAGTAATGAATTTTTTTAAAGTATGTGGTATAAAAAATATATGGGGTGAAATTTAAATTACATACTATTTTGGAAAAAGTTCCATGTTGTAACACAAGGCACACTGTCTCCTTGCCTTTCATATTGAAATAGTGTCTTCTCTTTAGTAAAACAGACAATATGCATTCATAGCCACAGAAAAAATGTCACTCTTATTCCACCTTGTTGTGTTGTCTAGACACTTTCTAGTGTTAATCTCAATAATGCATACAATTTCTCATGTAGCTGCTAATTGAACCCTCAGTCAGCTCTAAGAAAATTCACTAGGCTGGGACACACAGATGGAAAGGAGCAAGAGAGATTCTTACCCTAGCTTGTCATATAATAAAAGTTAAATAACCTGGTACAGATACATATAAGCTCTATGTGTGGGTATTTAAAGGTTCTCCTCCAATGACCTTAGGACA